GCCATGCCCCCCTGGCCATTGACTTCGCTTGTCAAAAAGTTGCAAAAGGTGATCACATGACCCTGTGACACTGTGACCGTCATAAGTATGAATCAGTTGCCAAGCATCCAAATGTAAATCACATGACCCTGAGGATGCTGCAACAGTCATTAAGTGTGATAAATGCAGTTGTAACTTCGAACAGTCACTAAGCGAATTGTTGTAAGTCGAGGACTACCTGTACTTTATCATTTTTTCCCTTTTTTTTGGTCATCAAGTTTTTGACACCTTGCTGAGCGACTGGTGGTACTCGGATGTTGCCATATCCTAAAAGTGGTACAATGGGTGAAAAGGTTGAAAAGCCCTGGTCTAGATGGGCGAATTAAGGCTCACGCCCTGCCTGAGTGCTCCCCGGGGATTGTGCTTCGCCCGGCTGCGCTGCCCTCACTCACCACCAGTGCTGGAGCTCCCTTCCCTGGAGACTGCAGAACTCCTGGTTACAAGGGGAAAGGGAGGCCAGGAGGGAGTGGATCTGGACCCCCCAAGCCTGACCCAGTCTATCTGGAGACCACTTGCCCAGGAGAAAAAGGCCCTAGCTTCGCCAATTCTGTGTGAGGTGATTAGGGGGATGAGCTGAGGAAATCTATCCAGTGCTGGCAGGGAGCAAGGGCAGTGTGGCCAGGTGGGTGGGCAAAGGGCAATCCCTAGGGAGCACTCGGTCAGGGCGCAGTCCTTGATTAATTTATTTGTGTAGACAGCAGCAGTGGCTTATCAGCTCTGGCATCACCTTTCTGAGCCAAACCACAGCAGGGGAAGATAGGATTCCCCCTGGATCTGGGGATTGGATTGACCTAACTTGCAGTGGAGGAGAAGGAGGTCCAGCGCTTTCCCACAGCCTCAGCATGGCCAGGGCTCTCAGAGTGATCTGGTAGGGCATGGGGGGAGATTCCAAGGCAGGGATAGCCCTGGGGTTTCATTTCCTTCAGGAGCACAGTGCCCATGGGGCTGGGGTTGGTGGCTTCCATGAAAAGGAGGACCAAATTCTTCAAGCCTCTTTTCCATGCAAAAAACCCAAGAAGGCTTGCCAGGTTAGAAGCAAGGTGCTGAGTTATCCCACATGGAATTGTCCTAAAGCAAGTCGTCCCGCAGCAAGTTGGCTGTGGTGACATGGCCGGAGCAAGTTGTCCCATTCCAGATTGCAATATAGGCAGAACTGACCTAACTAGGCTCTCAGGGAGGGAGGAGTAGAGTCTCTTCACAAGGGGAGGACATAAGAGACTTTCTTAAGACATGGATTATCATAATTCCAAATGAATGTCCAAATCCTTCTCAGCCTAAAGAACACATTTAGTATAAAGTAGGTGCTGAGAGTCTACATAAAGTACATACTAGGATATTAGAGGAATGAGAGCCTTTTAATTTCCTGCAGTGTTTCTAATACTTTTGACACACACAAATATGTAGCTTTGGTTCATTTTCCTCAATAAATAAATGAACAAGTATGTTTTTGACTCATTTGTTTAATTGGGTTCTCTTTATCTAGTTTTAGGACTTGTGTAGAGAATAGATCATGTTTTAGGTCATATATTTGTAGAAATATTGAAAATTCAAATGGGATTGCAAACTTTTAAGCATCACTGTATGCACTCTGATTCACACTCGATTTTCTTCTTGCTCTGTGGTAATGTACCAGCTTGCTTATTTGCATGAAAGAATAATGTGAAGTTGCCTACAGAAATAATATGTACAGTGAGGGAAAAAATATTTGATCCCCTCCCAATTTTGTACGTTTGCCCACTGACAAAGAAATGATCAGTCTATAACTTTAATGGTAGGTTTATTTTAACAGTGAGAGACAGAATAACAACAAAAAAATCCAGAAAAACACATTTCAAAAAAGTTATAAATTGATTTGCATTTTAATGAGTGAAATAAGTATTTGTCCCCTTCGCAAAACATGACTTAGTACTTGGTGGCAAAACCCTTGTTGGCAATCACAGAGGCCAGAGGTTTCTTGTAGTTGGCCACCAGGTTTGCACACATCTCAGGAGGGAGTTTGTCCCACTCCACTTTGCAGATCCTCTCCAAGTCATTAAAGTTTCAAGGCTGACGTTTGGCAGCTCGAACCTTCAGCTCCCTCCACAGATTTTCTATGGGATTAAGGTCTGGAGACTGGGTAGGCCACTCCAGGACCTTAATGTGTTTCTTCTTGAGCCACACCTTTGTTGCCTTGGCCATGTGTTTTGGGTCATTGCCATGCTGGAATACCTATCCACGACCCATTTTCATTGCCCTGGCTGAGGGAAGGAGGTTCTCAACCAAGATTTGATGGTACATGGCCCTGTCCATCGTCCCTTTGATGCGGTCAAGTTGTCCTGTCCCCTTAGCAGAAAAACACCCCCAAGGCATAATGTTTCCACCTCCATGTTTGACGGTGGGGATGGTGTTCTTGGGGTCACAGGCAGCATTCCTCCTCCTCCAAACACGGCAAGTTGAGTTGATGCCAAAGAGCTTGATTTTGGTCTCATCTGACCACAACACTTTCACCCAGTTCTCCTCTGAATCATTCAGATGTTCATTGGCAAACTTCTGGGATTTTTTTGTTGTTATTCTGTCTCTCACTGTTAAAATAAACCTACCATTAAAATTATAGACTGATCATTTCTTTGTCCGTGGGCAAACATACAGTACAAAATCAGCAGGGGATCAAATTTTTCCCCTCGCTGTACTGCAATTTCCATATTATTTTTTTAGTCTTAAATACTGATTGATTTTAACTGAACATTTTCATTATCTAAAATTGTAAAAATATTTGATACTTCTTAAGGTGTATATAATTAATGTACATTTTTAATGTTGTAGCTACCAAACTACAAAAACTTTAAAGGAACAATCCAAGAACTTGGTCAGAATCATTACATAGTGAGTGGAGAAATATTTGTGATTGATAGGAACACAGTAGAAATTACAGAACTTCCAGTTC